CTCTATACAGTGTGACTCAGAACTTATCCAAAAAAAAAATTCTGGATGTACAGGGGACCCTTACAAATACAATTTTGTAAAGAAAAAATCAAAAAGGGCAGTTCGAAAATGATTTCAAAATGCACGGCACTGGACACTGGTCCACTGTAAAACCTGACCTCTCACAATGCGACCGGCATGGCGGTGTGATAAAAACGGACAAAAACTTTCGCAAGGAAAGAAATATGTAAACAGAATTTTATCGCACCTATTTTATATCGGCAAATTCAACTGATTTTGCCTTTATTAATTAATAAAATTAATTTGTGTTTTTAAATAATAAAATCATTTGACATACCTGATGTTACAACAATTGTTCAAAATTTTATCCACGAATGTGTAAACACATTTGGGTCCGTTGTTACAGTTTCTACGAACACAAATGTTGTCTTGTTTCACCATAACACAAATGCTTCACCATAAATTAAAACGATATCCATCAACACGCAAACCATTTTTGACACTAACTACCCATTTTGACACTCACTACTAAATATCCTACTGTAAACGCCACAGATAACAGGTAAATATCGCAACGAGCGACGATTGCAAAATCCGAATTCAGTATTCGGAGTCGCTGAGGCCAAGTGGCGAATGACGCTAAAGGCTACAGTTGTCCAGCTATGTAGTGGTTGAATGTACTTTAACTTTAATATTTTTTTTCTCGGAAACTATAAGGATTTTACAAAAATTTTTTTTACATCTATTCCCAAATTTTTTTGGATAAGTTGTGAATCACCCTGTATAAATAAAAGATAAAACTTTTACTTTCATAATTTATCTACAGTGTACAGTTTTCCTGAACTTGTCCAAAATGTTTCTTTTAACGGATGTGTAAGATACTGTTCTTTTTTCTTTGTTTTTTGAGTATCCACAATTGTTTGAATTACGTATGTATAAAAATTTATATGTATATGCATGTAAAGCCAAAAAATTAGACGGTTGTCTAAAAAAGTTAACTCTTTTAAATTTTCAAGCTTTCGAAACTATATTTTGTTTCTTCATCCGGAAAAAACTACAAGAGGATGCAAGTTAAAATTTTTCTTATAAATTAGTCATTAAAAAATTACTTACTAATCGAGAATTGCATATGAAATTAGCAAACATAATAGGTCCATCTACCGCGGGCATAGGTTATTATGTCAAATAAATAAAAACAACACAGGTAACAGTTTAAAAAAGGAAATTGTGCAATTATAAAAATTTTAATATTCTTAACTATAGAAGACTAGAGCCGAAATCAAACAATACGAACAAAACCGTCTGTCTTTTAGGCACGGATATCCGATAAGAAGGAAAAAAAGGGAAAAAATATTAACGATTTTTTAACGATAATTTATTTTATTAAATTAACCAAAAACAAAGTCGCATACCACTATACAGGGTGTCTCCTGAAAGACCGTCCTTGTTATTGAAATACTGATTTAATAAAAAATATATATATATATATATAAATTACACTGAGACCATCAATATTAGTGACGTAATAATTTTTTTACAAGCGTGTTTCATTTGAAATAGATAAAAGTAACTGCGTTTAGCTACCCTTAAAGTATAGTCAGTTCTCTTCCGGACACCCTATATAACGTATTTTCATCACATCACATCCCTTTATGAATAACTGCTTGACTTCAGGTAGTAATTAATGGTCAAAGATTTCACAATCAAACGTCAGAGGTCAAAAATAAGGATCACGTCAGTATTATACCGAATCCCAGTCCATCAATAAAAATGTTTCATTTTATAACCATATTTCAAATTATTTTTATTTTTGGCTTTTTGGCTGAGAGTGGGTTACATATTAAAAAATATATATAATACAGAGAACACAACAGAAGGTTTGATCTAATAATAAACAGATAGAGCTTAATGTAAGAAAATTTTGGAAAAATTTTACCATGGTTTCAAATCATTTAGTTATGGCAAATTTTAATCCTTTTATCGATAAAGAGTATGAAAGTATAATATATAGTTTAACATCTAAAATGGTTGCTATCCGTCCAAAGAAGGCACAACACTGTTGGTTGATACTATTCATTCAACAAATTATTTTTTATTAATCAAAATATTAGATTTCCGTGTACCAGAAGCCAGAAGGGCATCCTGTATATTTTAAAACAATAGAATTGTACCTCTTCCGTGTTCATTGAAAACGAAAAATTGACCGTGTCAGGTAAGCCCTCATCGCCGGCTAGATGAAGTAATTTAAAACCGACGCGGCAACGATCTGCAGTGGGCATCGAGCCTGGAAAATCGCGAACGTCGTGACGCGTCGGTGGCAGGCAAGAACCAGCTCCTTTCACCCGTCTTAGAGGCGCGTTTCCGCCAGAACAATGGACTCGTTAATTAAGAGTTCTTTCGGCGACACGGCAATCCGAAAATTTCTCTCCTCGGATATCAACAGACACATGCCCCCCCGAGTTGCCCGCCTCTCGATTTGCGGAATCGATAATGGAGCCAGACGCGTTTTCTCTGCACTTTCGAGAAGAATTCCTTCTCTTTCGTATCGCGAATATCGAATTTTCAGAATTACGCGAAGTTGCCGGAACTAGCAAGTTCTCATTAAATGTAGGGAATTATGAGGGTCTGCTGGTTTATTAATATTTAATAATTCCAAGGAAGCTACTTAAAAGACAATCCTGAGTAAAATGTAGAAATGGTGAGTGAGATCTTTCTGTCGTGGGTATCTTTCGTGTTCATCTTTGTAAAAGGTGTTGCTATAACAAGATTCAAGATATTTCTTTGAAAGATTACATTATTTAACAATTTCAATATATCAGATATTAATAATATTTAGGTATCATTTTCAATTTTATTTTAGATAATTATTAATTACTAGATATTACTGGTTTAATTCAATGCTAGCTGGAGAATGTAGCCCATAAAGTAGTTGTTTTCCACAATATTATCAGTCTTGTCTAGGAGATCTTTTGCATGCCTACATTTTTCAGTTTTTTTGGACCTGTAGTGTGGAACTCTCAGTATGGCCTTGGGACATACCCTTGGACTTATTTCCCTCTAAATAAGCAACGACTACGGTTGATTTTTGGTACTGTACACAGACTGGCCAGATACTTCTGCTCTAGTTATAGAATTTCAAGATACCAGGGTCGACTTTCGAACCCGCTTAATGGTGGCTTCGCGAATTTTGGGGAACTGCTCTTCGGTGTGGATTCTAGCATTTCCATAATCTGTTAACGTGCATGCTCCGTTGTGGAATCTGGCTATTTTATATTTATGTAAGACAACTTCGTTTCGTATCCTAGTTCAAATTTCGTGGCAATCTTGGCGTTTTTGCGGAAAAAATCAAAACTGGAGTGAATATTTAGGCGTTTCGCGAAGGTCGTCGGAATTCGCTCTGCTAAGAGCATCGGGCTCTTCATATGTTGTCTATTGTAGCTTGAGGTGTTTGAAATGGACTCTGTGGACAGTTCCGGCGTTGAGATTAGAAACATGCGTGATAATTTCTACTTGAAACATAGGTGAAAATTTTGATTCCGCTCAGTCTTCGACACCTATTTTTGGTTAGATTTTCTGCTAGTTGGAGCTCTCCAAACGGTGTCGTAGATCAGATTCGAAATACACTCGGGAATAAGACGATACCTTAGTACAATATGATGTAAATTATTATTATTTGGTTTAAAAACAGATTTAACTACTCGTATTACTGTTATTTTTATTTTGTAAGCGCCACATATTTTTTCTCGAAAATAGTCAAGAACCCATATTTTGGAAACATGGTATTTAAAAAGTAGGACACGCTCTTGTGGTTGCTTATAACTTACCTAATATGTATCTTGACATTTTTGCCATCTCTTGTGCTATTGAGTACTTACGAAACGGCTGCAGGACTGTAGCGAAACTTGGGCGATTTGGACACTATTATAAGATCTAGATCTCACAAATATTTGTATTGGATATAAAAAGTGCATCAGTTATTATTTGTGTATAATTTTGGTTTGGTTACATGGAATAGACTGTGTACAATCCAACGACAATGAAAGTAAGAGTCGTATAACGCGGGTGATCTGCGCATGACTCGAGTAGACGTTCAATCGCACCTCATATTGACTCCGTCAAATTCCCAAGGAGATTCCCAGCGGATTTCCGATTTTCGAGCGTCAATCTGAATCCGCCGTTAGAGATGGCTAGGCTTTTGGATTCACCTACATGTCACCAGTGGATGATGTTGGTGGTCGCTGAGCGATCTCTTAATGTCGAGTTGATTGCCCACAACATTTGAAGCAGCAGTGACTTTTCTAGGGATCCGCGCCATCTTCTACGGTTACTCTATCAATATCATCGGGCTCTGTTGGCGTTATCTGCTATCTATTGGTGTGGCTGAAGCTGTTTTGAGCTCCATGGGCAGCTCCGACGACGGAATTCTCAAGATCCCCATCGGAGCTATCTGGTTGGTTTGAATGATGAACTCGATGTTCTCGGGAATGTCTACCTAAGTGGTTTTGGAATTTTTCTTCGGGCTCTACTGGCAACACCTTGTCGTGAGTGAAATTTGTACTGCTGGTACAATAAAGACGCTTTAATTTTTTAAAAGACTATGAAACAACTTTCTTAAAGTTGTTACAGTTCCAAAATTCATTAATGGTACTAAATTTTATATGTACTTGAATAATTTAGGCAAGCAATTTAAACACAAATATTTAATTTTTTCTTGAATATATTCATAACACATTAATATGCAGCACTTTTTATTTCTAGAGATTATAATTTAAAAAATGACTACAATAATACAACTTAAGAATTCAGTGATGCCTCATGCTATGTTACCGATTGCAATCCTCCCAGAGCATTTTCAAACGGTTAGGAAGCGACGATTACATCCCCTTTATAGCCTTAGCCATCACTTGCGGTTATTTTACGGCCCGTATAATTTCGGCGATTATAAAATGTCGGGGATTTCAGTATCACGGCCTCGCTTGATGTGGTCTCTTTGATTTCAGGTGGACGAGAGGCGACCAGGAGTGAGGAAAGCCGAAAACAGGTAGGATTCACGTTTTTTTTACTGCACGACCCTTCACGAGGGAAATCGGATAAATGTATCTTGTTAAATATGGTATCTAGTATAAGTTTTGTAACTTCGAACAGATAATATGGAACTTACGATATTTGATGGTAATGATATGTATATACATTGATACAAGGTATTAAAAAAAATAACACCGAATATAAAATAATATTTTTTTCCTGTAGAACAAGGGCGTATTCTCTTTTGTTTCTGAGAAAAAGGAATTTATTTTCTCTTTTAATAACATTTTTGCTATATTTCTTTAAGTAACAATGCATAAACGGTTTTGATGATCTTATAGCAATGATACGAGAAATAAATAGAATTTATTTCAACAAGAGACAAATTTTTCTTTAAAATATGCAACATGTACGATTCCTAACCTCAAAAAAGTAATTTTCTAAAATATTAGTAGGAAAACTCCTACAAGATAGTGAAAAACTAACACAGATGCATTTAGTACCTTCAGAAACTTATCTGTACCAAATTTCAATATATTACATCAATTTCTGGATTGAAAAAATCATCTTTGATACCTTTTAAATCCATAACAAAAGACAGTAGAGCCATGGTCCATAGAAAATAGCGTTAAATCTTATTTTTTTATATCTCACCAGTAGGCTTAGTGCAGCGTGGAGTTTAACAGGACCGTAGTCAGATTAGGAATGAAAATATTAATTTGTTTACAGAAAATATGTCGCAACATAGTACTATTGCAAAGGGCAAGGCTGAGTAGAGGATAAATAACCTATATAAATTTAAATGACACCACTTACTCGATAAACCTTAGTGTTGAGACAAGGCTTCCGTGGCATATTGGAAGGAGTTAAAACATATTACTATGTACTTTTCTTAGTTTTCTTTGGTGAAACAGCGACGTTTGTCACTTAATATTAACTTGTGTAGGGAAAATGACCGTTCAACGTCTACTTTTGACAAGGGACGGTATGAGAAATTGTTGAGGCGTGAACTATATATTAATATATTTGCTGGTAACTCCTGATATGTACCAGATAAAACTTTACATATGTTTTCTAAAATGGTGTATCCTGGATTTTTTCCAACACTATTTGCGTTTTTTCTTTTATCGTACTACTAACTGGGCGTATATTATTGGTATTGTATATATTTATTGTACATCATCCATTATATCAAATTGTTCATTTAGGGATAGTCCATGCGATTCCAATTTACGGAATTACGGAACTTGGGGTTCTCTAGTTTGTTTAATGGAATACTGCTTGAAAGAAAGGCGTCTGTAAGTTCATAGAAAAATGCAATATTCAGTGCTGGACGAGGCGTGGCTCTTCAAATGTCTTGTCACTTTAGTTTTGTAACAATAATTTATAATGCGTTCACACACAGTACAAACAGGTCATTTCCTTTAATACGTATGTCCCTATAACCCTCAGGATCACTGTCAAACCACATTTGAAATAATTGCCGTAAATTTCTTTTCTCTTTTGGCATTTTACTTCTATTTTCTCCCCAACTAATAGTTGTTAATGCAAATTATGTTACTATTTACAAATAGTTATTTAAATACACACGGCGAATACAATTTACAGCAGAGGTAAAAAAGAAAAGTATCAGCGCGACACTACTACAAGGTTCCGTAAATAACAGAACAGTTCAAGACGCGAGTCAGCTGTGAAGGCCACCGACCTCCACGCCGGCTCTGTTAAACTCTGCACGTGCACTAAGCCTACTCATCAGCCTTTGAATTTATGGCATCTCTTGTATATACTCGGTATATTGATTTAATATCTGATGAATTTAGACCATTCAAAAGTGCAATTTTTTTGTTTAGTCAACTCTGCATCCCTTACAATTTTCTAGATTCAAAACTTTAGTAATTATTACAGATCCATACGATTTTGAAGCTCTGGATGACTTGTACATAAGACATTACATAACTTCTAGGCTCTAAAAGTGATGGTGAACCGTTTGAGCTCGGCGTCTCAAAATTTTGAAAAACTTATCTCTGGTGCTGTGTCACATATAGAAATATTCATAAATTTTCTCTACACACGTGCCTGAAATGCTAAAAAAAGAGTAAAAGTGACCAGGCACAGACAAACAAACCATCTGCCGGGGTTTATAAGTATAATCGGAACTTTATTCCAGAAGCCAAAAATACTCGCACCCACAGCAATTTTCAATTTTGACCGAGTCAACTTATTGATCTTATCAGTACGTGGTCCTTTGATTATTTCATTTTTACTAATCACTTTAGATTTGTTGGTACAGTATTCTGTAGAAAATTACTTTTTACACTTGTATCTTAAATATATAAAACTTTGGATATTTTTGGCCACTCTGTTAATTGATTTTTCACCTTCCAGAAGGCAACTTTCTATGAATTCCCGAACTCAGCACATTTTAAACATATAAACGTGAGAAAGATAGAGGCCTTATCAGATTCGGAATACATTTAAGGGGAATGTCAAACCTATAAAATATCACGTTATCCACACGTGTAGATAGATTTATGCAGGGCTGTCGCGTTTGATTTAGAGGGCCAGATAACTCGAATAAGTTTTATTGGAAGCTACCTTTTATCGTGACGCATTCCTGCATTTTGAAATAACACTTACTTAACCTTGCCATATCTGGGCGGACCCCGATCTCTTCGACAGGGGAGAATCTATGGGACAGAGTTTAGTTCGAGGGATGGACTGTTTTATCTAGACAGCCTTGTTTTCCTGCTAAAAATATGGGACTTGTACAGTCTGAAACGTATCAATAGTTTGCGTAGATAATTCTAAATAATTCGAAAGGGAAATAAAAATGACATATTTTGTGATGGATCAGGAAATGCCAGTTTAAATAAATTATTATTATTAAATGTGTTATTGATATTGAAGTGATTCATCTAAAAAAATAATCCTATTTTTGGTAATTCTTACAGTTTCTGACTGACAGGCCAAAGTTGACCAAACTATAATAATAGCAATTTTATTTAAAAAAAGGTCACTGACTACCCGTCTACCACGTCACTGGTGGTTGTAGCGAATCGTTTGTAGATCATTTATAAAGGACGATAAGTCAAAAAAAATGATATCGACATTCGGCATATTCACGGTTAGTAAAAGTATGATGGTCCATGGTTGTAAAAAAAATCGAATGAAATGCAAAGTCAAGCATAAAGATCACAACTAAGAAACTAAACAAACGTAAAAATTTAAATGATAGCACGCGAAAGTGACAATCATTAGTATCATTACGATGAAACTGTCACCATGGAAGATACCTATTATGTGGAAATGTTAAAAAAGATGTTACTGCTCTGAGCCATACATTTAAAAAATAATTATTTGTGACTAAACTACGCAGAATTCCAAAAAAAAGTAGAGAAATTTTTTCTTCAAAAAAGTCTAACTTATTAAAAAATAATATTATTTGCTTGATAATTCAAAGAAATAAAAAATTTCGAAAAATTTCTGTTAAGGGTAGTTAGAAAACTATTCTCATTTATAATCGATTTTGATGAAACTTATGATAGCTAAAGAACTTTGGTATGATTATTACCTACAGTCAGAAAGAGAGTTATCTTAAAAAATATCCAAATGATAAGAGCCCCTTTGAAGGATATCTTAGTAACGGTGCTCCGGAGGACCAATGTTTATAGGATTTTTTTTTACTAGTTTTGGCTCTACTTTCACCTCATCAAATTTTGTATAACCTTTTCCAAACACCCTGTATATAGAATAAAAAATATATTTTGCTCTTTTTTAGAGAACATATCACTAAATCCAAAATAATAGATACTCATTAAAATAAAAGTAGAAGAATGTCATTGCATATTTTAAAATAAAAAAATATAAAAATTATATTTAATCACCTCAACTCAAAACATCTTTCTATTTTTAAAAGTAATCGAGATAACCGAGCTGACTATCTCGATAAGAGTACGAAAGATACAAAAAAAATAAAAAGCTAATGACATCAGAGTTAGGGCCCAAAAAAAAACGAATATTTTTTTTCGTGTTTCTTGTGAAAATATGTTAGTTTATCATGTTTTAAGAGCCCCCTCAAAAAATTTACTCAAAAAAAATTTTTTTGAGGTCGCTAAAGATTTTTAAAAATTTCCAAAATTCCTCCTAAAAATAAATATCAACGAACTAATAATTTTTTTTATTGAATTTGACGAACAAAAGAATAGAAATAAATCACGAGATACTTAAATTTAAAAAAATTAAAAAATTATAAATAAGTATTTGATACTCACAGTGCGGTTGTAAATTTTGCCACGATAAATTTTTTAAGTGTCTCGTGATTTATTTCTATTATTTTGTTCATCAAATTCAATAAAAAAATTATTAGTTCATTGATACTTATTTTTAGAGGTTGCTCGAAAACATTTTAGGTACACTACTTTTAAAGTTAAAATAATTAGGAGTGACCTTTAGAAATTAAGAATCGAGATTTTTCCAACCTAGAAAATGATAAAATAACGAGAAAAAAATTAAAGGGAAAAGAAATGAATTTTTGAGGATTTTGGAAATTTTTAAAAATCATGAGCGACCTCTAAAAAAATTTTTTGAGCTGATTTTTTAGGGGGCTCTTTTCACAAGAGACACGAAAAAAAAACATTATTTTTATTGGGCCACCCTAATCAGGGTACATACTAAGAATCTCTTTTTGGGATCCATCTGCATGTAAACCTTTTTAAACGATAGTCATCATCCCTATCATTGTTGATTTTTAGGGAACAATACCTTTACTTGGTGAAATAATTAGGATTCATTTAAAATTTAATTAATTATAATATAGTAATAAAAATTTAAAATTTTAAATTAAAAATTTTGAAAATATAGTTATTAAAAAAATCTACTAAAAAAATATATAAAAATTTGAAAGAAATAATTTATCTATTGGGATAATATTCCCATAATGCATATTAAGACAGTATTAATATTTTCGTCGAAGTACTGACGACTATTAATCCAGGTTAATCTACAGACTGCCAAGGA